TTATCGGTCTTTTGATGTTTCGATTTCGAGTTTTTTTCATTTTTCGATTTCCATTTCTCGATTTCTCAGTTCTCCGATTACTCCTGTTTTCGATTATTTGATTTTTCAATTTTTGGCGTTTCTAAATTTTCGGATTTTTCGTTTTCCCAATTTCTCGATTAATCGATTTTTTAATCTTTGGATTTTTTGATTTCTCTGTTGAAGTTTTGAGATTTTTCAATTTTGAGATTTTGACTGTCTTTTTTACTTTTTGCTTGATTTTTCTATATTTTGTGAGTTTTTAAATCCTACATTTTTCAACATTTTCATCTATTCGATATTTTAATTTTTGGATTTTTGGATTTTTTAATTTTAAAATTACTGATTTTTATATTTTTAGGTTTTGACAATATTTTGATTTCTCCTTCAAAAACGAAACATTAAAGAAGATTCTGTAAAATTCTTTCCAAATAAAGAACTCCACGGATCTTTGCGATTTTTTAAAAGTACCTTTAAAAACAAAACACAAAAGGCCTGAATTATTAGTACGTGCTTAACTTCAATCGTTTATGTTTATACATCGAAAGAATGCCACAATTAAGCACGCAGCAAATTGTCTCCTCAAACAGAGGAAGCGACTAAAAATATTAATTAAGCTTCGATGCAGAAAAACGTTCTGAATATTATTTTAGCTAAATCGATGTTATTATGACCATTTTTACTTTGTCATTATTAAATATAGATGGGCGCAACATTACTGTATTCTAAAATTTTCGGGCTCCGGCGTCCTCCACAAACCAGTGCTCGTATATTGGTATAAATTTTGTGATGATCCAAAAACGAGAAGGCGAAAAATCGAAAGAAAAACGTTAAATCGAAAATTGAAAAACCGAAAAATCTAAAATCGGAGGACTGAGAAATTGAAACAACAAAAAAGTGGAAAATCTAAAATTTGAAAATTCGAAAAATGTAAGATTTAAAAAATCGCAATATTTTGAAACACTGAATAAGTAAAAAATCAAACAGACGAAAAATAAAAAAAATCGAAAAATTTAAAAGTTGAAGTATTTAAAAATCCCAAAATTGAAATAAATAGAAAATAAATAGAAGATAATTTTTATATACATATTTCATATAGTTCGAACGCACCTCGGGGACCACTTGCATCTGGTTTTTGAAGTACACTGCCAGACAAAACACCCGAAAAGTTCCAAAAAGCAAAACATTGATGTATTCATTAACAGAAAAGATAACTTTATTCTAAAACGTGTGGAAACAAAAAAAAAAAAAGAAAAAAGTTATAAATAATAACTAATAGCAGGCTGATTTTGGCAAATCACATACTTTCCAAGAAAATAGAGGGTGGGTGGGCGGGGCTAGTACTTGCTAAGATAAGACTTATTTCGGCAAATGACATATTCTCTGAACAAATAGCCTCCAAATATTCTAACCCTTTCAAAGGTTTTAAAGCATTCAAGGATACCAAAAACTCTAAGGACTACAAGGATTTCAGGAATTTCAAAAAATTAAAAAAAGCTAGAGAAGCCGGCAATTAAAAAAGTCTAAAGGGATTTCAGGGATTTCAAAAATTCCGAGATTCCACAGATTCCAAATATTTAAAAATTGGAAAGATGATAAAAATTGTAAAGATGTAAAAATATTTAAAATTCTAGAGATACTGAAGTATCTAAAAATAATGAAAATCTGAAAGCTCTAAAGATTATATAAATTCTAGTGATTTTAGTTTCTAGAGATTCTAAAGACTCCAAAGTGGTTTGAAAGATTAAAAAAAAAATAAAATTCTGTTTCGAATACTTGAAAAATTCTAAAGGTTCTAGAGAAATTCCAAAAGGCCAAAGATTCTAAAACTTGTAAAAATCTCGTGAACTCTTAAAATACCAAAGATTTTAAAAATTCCAAAGACTTTAAAGAAAACAAAAATCTTAAAGACCTAAAATTCGTAAACATCGGAAAAATGCTTTCTTTAATTTTTATAAATCCCAAAAGCACTGAAGGCCTTGAACACCCTAATTATTATTTTGTAAATCTTGGAGACGGTAAAGATTCCAGAGATTCCAAAAATTCCAAAAATTTAGACTTTGAGATCTATAAATTTTAGAAAATTTGAAAAAATTTAGAAAGTGTGGGAAAAACGTGGTAGACCTAGAAATCTTGAAAATATTGGAAAATGTTGAATTTTAAAATTGTGGTATAACTGGAGACTCATAATTTTAGAAATTTTGGAAAATGTGGAAATTTTGAAAATTTTGCAAATTACGAAAATTCCCAAAAATTAAAAGGTAATAAAAAAGTATTGAATCTCAAATTTCAAAAGTTTACACGATCTTAAGGTTGTAGATATTCTAAAAATTCCAAAGTTTCCAAATGTTTGAAATATTTAAAAGGTTTCAAACCTTTCAAAATTTCTAAAAATCTTGAAGTTTTCATACACAAAAATAATAGTAATTGGCGCTAAATAAACTAAAGTTTTAGGTTCTAAATAGAAGAAACATCCAACAAAATCTTAAAAATTGTAAAGATCTTGGAAGTATTGTTCCTAAAAATTATAAAAATTATTAACTTCATAAAATTTGTAGTAATTCTGAAGTATCCAAAATTCCCAAAGATTGTTAACACTCTGAGGACTCTGAAAACTCTGAAGATTCTAAATACTCCAAGGACTCAAACGTTAAAAAGGTTTTTAAAATTCTGTTCCAAATATTCCAAAGATTCTATAATTTGTAAAAAACGCATGAACTCTTAACATGACAAAAATTTTAAAGATTCCAAAGACTTTAAACAAAACAAAAATCCTAAAAAAAAATAGTAAAAATCTTAAGAATGTTTCCTTTAATTGCTATCAATCCTACGAGCGTTTTGGAGTGAGTTCAAGACCTGTATCCCAAAATTTCTTGGAATCTCAATTTTTCAAAACCCCATCGTATGAATTTTTTGCCCGCTTTTCGAGATTAGAGATATTTAAAAATTTTTTGAAAATAAATGTTTCCAAAATCTACCAAAAATGAAAAATCTCGAGATGTATAAAAACTTTCATTTTAAATTTGGTCCAAGACCAATGACACTTTTGGAATCAGCTCGTCAAGATCTATTTCCTAGAATTTCTTGAGGATTTTTGAGAGTGTATTTCATTTGCCAAAATCAGTTTTATTTTAGCAGCTACTAGCCGACCCTGTGACTATTATACCATTGCAAGAAACTTTTTTAAATTAAATAATTAAGGTAATTAAAGATGGTGTTTAATGCCAGTAGATAAAATAATAATAATGAAGTAATAAATAAAGTTTTACTGCATTCCTGTACATTTATCATTAACCTGCGATAATCAAATATGCTTGAAGTACTCCACGTGAAAGAAAAAAAATTGTTGGCAACATGTTTCGACCCCCGCTGAGGCCATGTTCAGTCTTAAATAAACTAAACTAAAACTGCGTGATTAATCTTTGTTTCATAATTTATCATTTAATTCGTACAACTAACTGTAAAAAGAGCAGAAATTTACATTTTACCACACGTACCAATTAAAAGTGAATTTTACAGAATTAGATTAACCTTTACAATAAAAAATTTAATTAATCGGTACCCAAGTGCCGATGCGTCAAATGCATAACACAAAAACAGTTTGAAAATTAAAACAAAAACGTTCCCGAAAAACACAAGAGGGACGTCCATTGCTCATCCCTTAAAATATAAAACTGACAAGTTACACTCCAAAGCTTTCATCTCCTACAGCCACAGTTTAACTCTTATCGTATCATCCGAGTGCAGACGGAGAGGGCAGCGCAAATTTTAACTCCCTGGGCACCTCTGCGGATGAATATCTCTAACAATTATATTCGAACGGGTGCTCGAACTATGTATGTTCAACTAGAAATAATCTAAATATGTCCGAAATGGTGCACAATGCATTAATTACCCAGCTGCCCATAGTTGATTTATTAATAGTCCTCGAAAGTACGTAGGCAATTTTTTCTCCTAAAAATGGGTGTTTCATTATAGTCTTTACAAGCTATTGTATTGTTGAATGAAGAGGACATCGGCTCACACAATAAAAATTAAAAAACAATGTTCTATTCTTATTGTGGAAGTATGATTTCTTACTTTATACGTTGGATTTTGATAACGTGTGAAAAATAGATGTATACACTGTTCGATAAATTCCAACTGCAGTTAGGGAAAAAAAAGTACACACTTGCTTTTATATATTTTACGAGGTGTGAAACGGTAGAAAACTTGGATTAAACATTTATCAAAACGACGTAATCACAATAGTGATCTCTCAAAGCAAAAATCGTTATTATAAAGTGTCAAGGCATTAACAAGCCACTTTATTGTTAGCACTCCTACTTCCCTCTCATTTGAAAGCTCCTTGACGGTTTTACATTTAAAAACCGTTCTCGTTGTACAGCGTGGCATTAATAACGTTACTACAAACAATAAAACGAATTCCCAGAAATCATTCCCATTTAGAAACTAGCAAACTTCAGCCCCAGTATTCAAGTTTACAAATTGAACTTCTCTCATACAATTGACTTCTTATAAAAATCGCTCCGTAATTTCCCTGAATTCTGGACTTGACGCAGAAAATCTTATGAAAGAAAACAACTGTAGAATCCGAGAGGAGAAAAAAACACTCAAATAACTTTCCTTAATTAAATTAAAACCAAGATATTTCAACGAGTTCTGCAGAGAATTAATTAAAGAAAAACTTAACGTGTTTCCGAGTAATATATTATAATCGTTAATAACAAAAATTAATTTCATCGATCCGGGGTTCGAAGTTGAGTGAGAATTTCCCGAAAAGGAACGACTGTTTAAAAGTTTCCCGTGATTTGCATACAAGCCTCCTCCTAACTGGCTACTGCCAAATGGAATACGAACGAGTTCTAAATCAAAAAATACACTAATGGAACACAACCCGACTCCTTATTAATGGAGCCGTCGCCGATTTATCCCGGACGTCGAAAAAACCGCCCTAAATCTAGATTAAAACTAGTACTCACCGATTAAAATTTAGGAAGAGTTGCTACGTGCAGGATCCCTCCTTCCAGAAGCCCTTCTCGTCCGCCCCTGCCGCTGCCCCTCGTCGATGCGAAAGAAAAATGTGACGAGGCAAGAATGGAACGCGTCAACTGTAAATAACAAGTAGTAATGTTAATAATTTAGCGGGAAAATTCGCATTCGGGATATTTTATAGTTTTCATTAAATTGTTCCGGTTTCTTTTAGGGCATATATATTTCCCTGCTGAAAAATCTGATGAAAAAACCCATCGCGTTTTCGCAGATATAACCCGTATTTCTATTAAAATTGCATTTTTACGGTTGCAAAGTTCGTTTCTGGTATTTTATCATCATTTCTGAGCGAAAACAATGTAATATTATTACGTTTTTATTACTTTTTACTGTATTGAAATGAAATATTAATTTTTCTCCGAGCCGAAAGGATACTGGGCTGTTGTTGGCGTTTTTTAATTGGAATTTAGCGAAACTAGCCGAAAAATGGGATGGGCGAAATTAAAAGTTACGCAACTGATCAAGTGGGCTTGGTAACAAGAGGTCACTCGATTTTCAAAAAATTGCGCGGAGGTTAGTTGGACAGAACTTACCTCGCCCCTGAAGTACAGCCCCCAAATCCCGCTGCTTATTATAACTTTTTTTGCGATTTTGGTTTTCTGACAAGTGATAAATTCTATAAAGTTAAAACTACAGGCATTTGTTTGTTTTTTTTGCAATTTTTCGACTTTTCAATTTTTTGGCTTTTCAACTTCCAGATTTTTTATTATTCCGTTTTTCCAATTTTGTATTTTTTTCAGTTTCTCGTTTCTATAATTTTTAATTTGCAATTTTTCTAGTTTTACCATTTTAGAATTTCTTCATTTTTCGATTTTTAATTTTTGACTTTTTCGATCTTTCAATGGTACTGTTTTTCGACTTTGCAATTTTGACGATTTATAATCTTTCGATTTTACAATTTTTGGGTTTTCCAATTTTTCAATTCGATTCGTTTTTGCTTTTTTCCAATTTCTAGAGTAATTTTTTTTAGATTTTTACGTTCCTAGATTTTTAGTTTGTTAGTGTTTTAATTTTTCGTTTTTTCAGTTCTCCGATTGGCAATTTCCCGATTTTCCATTTTCAACGTAGCAATTTCTCGTTTTTCACTTTTTTGATTTTTCAATTTCCTCCTTTTTTTTTAGATTTTTCAACCTTTCTAATCAAAAAAATCGAAAAATTGGAAAATTGTTAAATTGAAAAATCAAACAAAAAAAACGAAAAAGTATAAAATGAAAACTAAAAAAATCAAAAAATCAAAAATCAAGAACTTGAAAAGTCGAAAAAACGAAATACATATTGTGAAATCGAAATACTGAAAATTAAAAAATTGGGAAAATCGGATAATTAAGAAATCCGAAAATTAAAAATTGAAAAATCAAGGAGGTGTAAAATTCAAAGATAGAATAATTGAATTAACCAAAGATTATAAAATCGAAACAAACATTGAAAAAATGAAGGATTCGGAAAAACGAAAAATAAAAATCAAAAATAAATTGAAAAAGCGAAAAATTGTAAATAATATCGAAAAATATCAAAATTGAAAAATTGCAAATCGAAACATTAAAGAAACGAAAGATTAAGTAATTCCTAGATGTCAAAACCTGCAAAAAAAATCTTAAGGTTATTACCGATAACGCTCGAAAAAAGATGAAAATTTTCATAATGGTGGAGTTTTGAAAAAACATAGCAGGTGTTTTTGGTTCCGGGCCAAAATTTTGGAAATATTTGGTGCTGAAATCAATTTTTTCTTCAGAGATTTCTTTGGGCCGTTCTGGGAAAATGGTGAGTCTTCGGAGAAATGAATTCGAAAGTAACTTTTAGAGATTGAAAATTTGAGTAAACGAAAAATTGTAAAATCGAAAGGGACATTGAAAAAATGAAGGAAATGAAAAAACGCAAAGCTGTGATGTAAAATCGAAAATATGAACATTTAGAATCAGGAAAATGAAAAATAAAAATCAAGAACTTGAAAAACTGAGAAAACGAAAAATTTAAAAACCAAAAATTCCAATGTCGGAAATTGAACAACTGAAAAATAAAGAAATTGAAAAAACAAAGAAAATGAAAAAAATTCAAAATTGTGACCCCAAAAAATTGCACAGTTGAAGAAAAAGGAAAACGAAAAAGTGTGATATCAAAAAATTGGTCGAAGGTTAGTTCGATAGAACTTCCCACGCCCCTGAAGTACAGCCCCCAAATTCCGCTTCTTATTATTATACAACTTGTTTGCGATTTTTGTTTTCTGACAAATGATAAATTCTACAAAGTTAAGACCACAGGCATAAATTTTTATTTTTGTTTGTTTGTTTTTCTTTACAATTTTTCGTTTCCGATATTTATTTTCCATGTTTTACAATTTTTCGATTTTTCCATTTTCCGATTTTATAATTTTTGTTTTTTCAATATCAATTTATTTAAGTTTTCGTTGCATTGCACTTTGCAATGTCTCAATTATTCATTTTCTTGTTTCTTCAATTTTTTTTCTTCCAACTTTTGGACATTTCAATTTTCAGATTTGCAACTTTACGAATTTTCAAATTTAAATTTTTTGTGTTTTCTACTTCCAGATTTGTTATTATTTAATTTTTTCAATTTTATACTTTTCAGTTTCTCGTTCCTATAATTTTTTATTTGCAATTTTTCTAGTTTTCACTTTAAATATGTAACAATAATTATAATAATTTTTAAAATCTTTCACTTTTTGAGTTTTACTATTTTAGAATTTTTCCGTTTTTCGATTACTGGATTTTAAAACTTTTCCATTTATTCCATTTTTAATTTTTGAATTTTTCGATCTTTCAATGTTACAGTTTTTCGACTTTATAATTTTGACGATTCTATAGTTTTTCAATTTTACAATTTTTGGGTTTTCCAATTTTTCAATTCGATTCGCTTTTCCTTGTTAAATTGAAAAATGTAAAAATTAAAAGACGAAAAACTATAAAATGAAAACTTGAAATAATTGAGAAATCCAAAAACTAAAAATTTAAAAATTGGAAATTCGAGGAGGTGAAAAATCAAAGATTGAAAAATTGAAGGAAACGGAAAAACGAAAAATAATTATGATTATATCGAGAAAATGAAACTTAAAAAATCGGGAAAATGAAAAATCGACAAATTAAAATTTGAGAAATTGAAAAATCAAAAAATGAAAAATTCTAGATAATACCGAAAAATGTCAAAATTGAAAAACTGCAAGTCAAAATATTGAAGAAACGAAAGATTAAGTAATTTTTTTCTAGAAGTCGAAATCTAGAAAAAAAAACTCTTCAGGTTATTTTCGAAAAGGCTAGGAAAAAGATGAAAATTTTCATAAGGATGCAGTTCTGAAAAATTGAGCTTTCGAAAAAAAAAAAATCCACAGAGAATTCTGCGACATACATCTCGAGGTGCTGATTCCAAATATATAGCGTGTTTTTGGTAGCAGACCAAAATTTTGGAAATATTTGGTGCTGAAATCAATTTTTTTAGTTTAAAATTTGAGAAATTTCTTTGGACGATTCCGGGAAAATGATGTTTTCGGAGAAATGAATCCGAAAGTAAATTTTAAAGATTGAAAATTTGCATAAACGAAAAATTATAAAATCGAAAAACGCGAAATTGTGATGTAAAATCGAGAAAATGAACATTCAAAATCAGGAAAATGAAAAATAAAAATCAAGAACTTGAAAAACTGCGGAAATTAAAAATTGAAAAATCAAAAAATTAAAAATTGAGAAACTGAAAAATCGAAAAATAAAAAATTCTAACACCGAAAATTGCAAAATTGAAAAAACCAAACATTTTAAAACCGAATCGCTGAAAAATAAATAGAAAAAAATAAATAAAATGAAAAAACGAAAAATTGTGACATCAAAAAATTGCACACTTGAAGAAAAAAGAGAAACGAAAAATTGTGATATCAAAAAATTGGACGAAGGTAAATAAATCCAGATTTTTCGAAAAATCATAACATTTGATTTTGCGAATTTTATTTTTTATGATAATCCTTATAAGTGAAAAAAAAGATGTCCATATAATGTTAAAATAAATATCAAGCAGCATGCTACGCGCTTATTTCAAGTGAGTTTTTCTATTACAAAATTTTGTGATGACATTATCAACATTTTTGCAAGGACACGTATGTCAATGTGGATAGTTGAAGTGTAATACTGAGAATAATAGTTCTGTATTACCAAATTTTCGAAAAAATCGAGTAAGTGCTTCTTGATTTAAATCAATACAATAAATTGCCTCAGTTATTAATTTCTTTTCAAAATTTGAAAATTCAAGCCCAAAGTATGGTTCAAAACATAACTAATTGAGTAGTGATTATCCGAATCTGATTAATTATTGCAAACTAACCTTCCACCGAATTACGACAAATTACTAATTAATTATCACACATAGTAGTACAACAGTATCTCAATTATTCACAATGAAACGATTAATAATTAACCAGTCATTACATCGTCGTTAACTCAATGAACTCCCGCTTTTCCTTAATTTTAGTCAATTATAATTAATTAGTTATTTATGTTATTACTGTTTTACTTAGTTGCCATTCTTTGGATTATAACATTAACATAACTGAGATTTGACAGACATATGACGAACGTATTATTTAACAGCCGTGGGAAAATATCTAACGCCGTACGAAAAACATCGCGTTATCACACACAAGTAGGAGCATTTTTGTGAATAACTAATTGAGTGCTAATTAATTACTGCAGTTAATCACACTTAATAACAGCTTGCTGCATGAAATTACAACTAATTTATTAATTAATTATCACACATTGCAGTATCACAATACCTTAATTAATCACAATTACAAAATTAATCATTAACTAATTAACAATTTTTCGTGCTTGGCTTCTTCCTTAATTTTAATCAAATACATATAATGAATTAGTCACTCTTTGGACGACCGAACCATAAAAATTTAATTCAAATGAGTGGCTTACAATTTAGTGGTCGTAGAAAAAATGGTTTCCGATTCCACGTTATCGTTGCAAAACTCGTCGATTTTCTAACACCCTGCGAAAAACATCCCGTTATCGCACCGTTACGCGGGCAGATACGAATCGAGCGAAATCGG